GCCCATAATGACTAGCCTAATGAGTTTGCTCCAATTTCTAGGTTAATTACACACCACATGCAAATGGAACGCAAAGCTAGTACTATCAGAAGTGACCTGGAGCAGATGTTACTCGACGAAACTACGGAGCCCAAGGTCCTGCCATTATCACTTTTGGAAGACATCACAAGTGATTTCTCGCATGACCAGGAGATTGGAAGCGGTGGATTTGCAGTGGTTTATAAGGTAGTAAACATGGCACGGGTGTTCCAATCTTAATCACGATCTATCTGAAAACTCAAACCAATGACATGCTAACACTTGTGAGTGGCAGGGAATTCTTGGCGATAGGGCGGTTGCCGTGAAGAGGATGTCCGATGCTTGTATGGATGAAATGAAATTTCACCGAGTGGTTAAATGTTTGATGCAGGTAAAGCACAAAAATGTTGTAAGATTTCTGGGATATTGTGCTGACAGACAAGGAAATATGGCAAGGTACAATGGAAAACTTGTCATGGCAGATGTCCACCAAAGATTGCTTTGCTTCAAGTATATACCTCAAGGGAGTCTTGATAAGTATATCTTCGGTAAGGACCATGTTGTCTCTAACTTATATATTTTATTTTCTTCATCCATGTACCACAACTTTATCTCTTTATTTGCATCATATAACATCATTAAGTATCTCATATTATACACCTTGTTTCTCATGTCCCCTTTGTAGATACATATCGTGACTGGGGAACATGTTATGAGATAATAAAAGGGATTTGTGAGGGTATACAGTACCTTCATGAGAATCAAATTATTCACTTGGATCTAAAACCCTCGAACATAATGCTCGACCAAAACATGGTACCAAAAATCACTGATTTTGGCCTCTCAGGATGCTTCGACGAAAATCGAAGTCGACATTACACCAAAACTATATTAGGAACAATGTAAGCTAGCTAGATTACCTTGAAAGCTCAGTTTTTTTGCTACGTGTTTCAAATTACACTCTCTTTGTACTTGAATCAATCATAATTTTTATATTTTTCATACAGGGGATATTTGGCACCAGAACTCCGCGAAGGGGGTGTAATCTCATCTAGCGCCGACTTGTATAGTCTTGGTGTTGTTATCATAGAAATATTGACGGGTCAGAAGGGGTATCAAGCTATTGAGAAGGTAAGAATAACATATGCCATTATTTAAAACATAAAAGCTCAATTTTCTCTATTTGGCAAAGAAGGGTCAACTTTGAAAAAAAGCTGGTCATGTTTGTCCTTCGGCGTATTTGTTATTACACTTCAGTTTGAGATGTTGCATAATATAATTTCTTGAAGCACACCTAGTAGTGGAAAG